CAAATATTTATGTTCGCTTTGCATTGTACAAAAAACTACAAGTCTGAATCTGTTGAAGTGAGCCTACAGTAAGGCAAACGTTTGAAGATACTGGTCTCTCATACCTCTTTATGTCTTCAGTCCTAACCCTCTATTCTCATTCTTCTGTAGAGAGTATGGAACATCTCTAAAAATCTCAGTCTATGGTCATTTCTTTTAATTCCGGCATTGGTTTATTTTCCAATGTCTGTGATTTGGTCAATTTATCTTGTTGATCTTGTGATTTTTGGCCTTCTCATTTTTCTTGAATGATGAGTTACTCCATATTCTCTGTATTTAATCTCATCATTTAACATCGTCATTTTGTCTATTTTCAGTCGACGGAATTAATAACTATATTTTTAACAGAACATTTAAATGGCGTCTATCTTTCTGGTTTTCGATTGTCTCAGTGTCCAAGATTTGCATCTCTATGTTAGAATTTGTAATATTAACCAGTTAATAATCATATTTTTATAATTATTGAAATTTGGGTATCTTCCCATATTTTGGTCATTTCCCTATAGCTACCAAAAATCTCAGATACAATGAGCTTACAACATGCAACCAAAATGACTGTTTTTTAAGCTATTCATTGCGATGGTCTCCTCCCATTCTTCAAGCGGTTGCCAAAAATTTTTTGCACATATATTATAGTATGTACGATGGAGACAGTATATCTCACTGTCGCTTTTATAGCACGTGGTATATAATATCATCATCCAGCCTTGAAAGTCCACTGCTCAACAGAGGTCTCTTTATCGTGTTTCCAAAACTTATAAAATTTTAAAATCATGAATGTGTTGCTTGTGTGAGTCCATTTCAAATAGGTAAAGAAATAATAAATAAGACTTACTCACAATCAATTTAATTTAACTATCAGACGACCGATTGAAAGCGAAACCGGTCATCTGATAGTTAAATTAAATTGATTGTAAGTCTTATTTATTATTTCTTTACCTATTATAAAATTTTCTCACAGCAAAATACACCCATTCGTAGGTTTTCTATTATAATTATAATTGAAATCGCTTAAGCAGATTTTGAATTAGTTGAGCATCCACTATATTATCCAGATATAGCCCACAGTGATTTCCAGGTGTTTCCAAAACTTAAGAAAACTTGAGAGGTTAACGATTTGCTTCTCATAAGGATGTCATGTGTGCTAAATCAGTGGTTTGCAGAGGATGAAAAACCATCATTTCGAAAAAGGATTAAAGATGCTGGAACATAGAAAAAAAATTAATAATTTAACAAACACTACATTTACTAATAAATATGAATTAGTTTCTAATTTTTTATGTTAAATGGGTCAAATTTAGAAAACACTTAAACTAACGAGCAATCAATAGGTTTATTTTGAATATTGCCAATTTTTTCACTAATTATACCATATTGTGTTGTAGAATCTAATAATATTTTTTGTTAATGATTAAGATAATACAGCAATCAGTTTTATTTATTGACAACATACCTAATTGTTGTTCATATTAATTATTAAATCGGTATTTAATGATATCTGTCTAGTATATTCATGACAAATATTTCGGTGAAAAAAATGTGATCAATCTAATTCGACAGCGAGGAGAATCCCAAAAGATTAAAAAAAACTAGGCAATTGTTATAAAATACTATTAGGATATTCAGTAGAACAAACAATGGAATCAAGAATTCTTAATGTTCAAAATATACAATTTGAAAATTTAGCTAACATTTAGTAGGATGCTTCATGGCGGTACAACCCTTCGTGGGTTTTAGTCGACTTGACAACGTCCCTCCATTCCTCCCTGTCTTAAGAAATCTTCTTTCACTCCTCCACGTTCATAGATTTAAGGTCTTACGCTATATTATCCCGCTACCGGAGTTTAGTTCGTCCCCATGGTCTTCTTTCAGTTAGGGCTTCTTCCCATATCAGCCTTATTATTCTTTCGTCAGAATGTCTTTTGAGATGTCCTTCCCACTGAAGTCTTTTGGACTTTATTTTATTATGTTGGCGTCTGGATATAATTCTTCGAGCTTTTTATTAGTTTCTATCCTATATTGTCTAGCAGCTCCATCAAGCATAGGCCCAAAAATCTTGCTTAGGATTTTTTTTCAAATGAATCGACAGTATGCTGACCTGTATGTGTAGTAAACTCTCTTGTGATAAATGCTGAATATTAGTAAGGGATACAGGTCATAATTAAAAATGAATTTGTCATGGACACCAGTCAAATCTTAAACCCTATATTACAGTTACAATGAGACGGCTTGACGAAGAGATGAAAATAAAAGTTTGAGCGGTAAAAGTAGAAAAAAAATAAAAAGGAAATACTCAAAAATGCATGCCTTTAAACTTACCAAATTTAATTGGGAAATTCAACTAACAAGGGTGGTGACACAAATCGAAAAATTACAGCTTCTTCTGCAATGGGCACGAATAAATCTCTTCACCTCAAAATCTAACGAAAGAGTAACAATGATATCCGGAGTCGGCCTATTAATAGGAGGAATATTCGAATAACAAAGTATAATTGACTTGTTGTATGGTCTATCTTTTGATAAGATATATTATAACGAAACAACGCTTGTTTTAAAGTATAACACAGGCCAACGATAAAAAACTTTTTTAATAAAATTACCTCTGTCTTATGCATTTTAGTGTGCTGAGTCCGAAAATCATGTTAAAAATGCTCTATCACCCACCAATGTTAACGAGAAGAAAAATCTGATATTACTTGGTTGGTGGCACTGTTAATGAATTGTACAAAACTGTTTATTCTTTCTCCCCTTCGTTAACAACTGTATAGTTTCTTTATTCTAATAAACATAACCTCGCTTTTGAGTGTTTTTGGATCATATGCTTTTAATTACGGCTAGTCGCAGTTGTAAAAACTTTACAAATACATTTTGTTACATAAGTGTGATTTTGTTATTAAAAAACATTAAAGAAACATTGACTTAGAGAGACACCAAAAAGTGGGGTGCTCTTTACAATGTAAGTTATGTTAGTGTTGAGGATTTAAGGAAGTGGTTGAAGAAAGAAAACAAGCTTTCAAATTTGCAATGCCTATGGTATGAAGAGAGCAAAAAAACAATTCAAATGATTATTATTTTTGTACTGTCGATGTTTCTGGATATAACTCCAAAGATAACAAAGTGATTGTTTATCCTAACCTTTCATCTTCTATATATCCGGTAGATCATGGACCTGAACTGCCAGTCGCTGAGCCTCCTCTACATATTGGTGACATTTTAAATACTAGTGAATTAGAATTTAATCAAAGTGGTCCAGGAACTGATGGTGAATTTTAATGTCCTTCGGAAAATTTACAACCACAGTTGTTTACACAAGCTGAGTTAGATGACTTAGTAAGAGATTTGTTGTTGTCAGGTACATATATTTACAAGTACAGGTGTACTTGTAAATATATCAACAGTTTGCTAAGCTTTTTAGCCAGGAAGGGGATTTGGTCTACTGTCATGATATTAATTGATAGTCTAATGAATGAGTTTGTTATTGAGTATAATAAGGATGATTGGATTCTTTTTATAGAGTCTTTAAAAACATGTTTAAAGCTTGTTCTCTTACACAAAGGGAACACTTATGCTTTACTTCCTATTGCTCATTCAGTCCATATGAAAGAGAAATATGAAAATCTTAACACAATTCTACAGAAAGAGCTTACAATTGGATGATCTGTGGAGACTTAGTAGTTGTTTGTATGCTACTTGGTCAACAAAAGGGATTTTTACAAACTTTTTATGTTTTATTTGTAAATAAGACAGTAGAGCAAGAGATAAACACTGGTCCATAAAATAATGACCCATAAGAAATGTTTGAACACCTGGCGAGAATAACATTTTGTACAAAACTTTGGTAGATCGAAAAAAGATCCTTCTACCACCTTTACACAATTAGTTAAGCTTAAAAAACAGTTTTTCAAGGCCATGCCTTAAGATAGAGAGTGTTTTAGGTACTTGAGCGGAAAGTTTTCCCACCTATCAGAACCTATCAGAACCTAACCTAACCTAACCTAACCTAACCTAACCTATCAGAAACCAAATTGAAAGAAGGCGTTTTTGTTGGATCAGACAAGATTATTTGATATATTCGTAAGATGATGTTCGACTTCACCTTTGAAACCAGGATGGCTACTGACAAAAAGAAGCTTGAATTGCATTGAAAAGTGTAACCAAGTTTTTAGGTAACGTGAAAGACCTTAACTACGAGCTTATAGTATATAGCTAATTTATCAGATGAGTTTAAGGATTTGGGATGTCTAATAAACCTTAAAATCCCGATTTTGCATAACCATCTTGAATTTTCCCTGAAAATCTAGGTGATATCTGTGAAAAACAAAGATAGAACAATTCCACCAGGATATTAAGGTGATGGAGAAGTGATACCAGCGACGTTTTAACTCCAACATGCTAGGTAATTACTCCTACAGCTGTACAGAATTGATGAAGTGAGAATATATTCTATAGCCAGGGCCTAATACCGTCTGTGAGATGGTGTGTTAGTACTTAAAGGTTAAATTGTTAATAAATAAAAATATAAAAAAATAATTTGAATTGGTTTTGATACCTAACTGGTGTTTTTTACAGGACTCTAAAAAACACTGTAATTTTGCACATTTCTGCCCTGGTCTACTGGGAAAGCAGGTATTGAAAAACATTTAGAAATCAAATGTAATGATATACCACCCTTAATATTTTATTTAACTATTAGTAGTTAGAAATAAGAAGTCCAACAGGTTTTTAACTGTGTAGTTATAATTAAATATAATGTTGCAAGGTATTCAAAACATGAAACGTATGTGTTTTGTTTTATATTTTAATGAGTAGAATTTTACAGAACGTTCGAACTGTCAAAACAATTATTTATTAAATTGATAACACTAAATTCCTGTGCGTATGTGCGCTTATGACATCCTAATTGCAACAAAAACATTTTTTTTAAGCGGTTCTAATAATACTAGTTTTTATTTATTTGCAGCAGTATCATTCACCATAACAATTGCATAGTATTCTGTCGACCGCAGTAGAGCAGATTTTGATTATCCAATAAACTTGGGATGGAGGATATATCGTCAAATCATCGTTCGATGTAACAGTGAATTTCACAAATGACACAACAATTTATTAGGCCTATCGATCGATTTCTAAGAATGCTGGTCTCGGCTAGAATTTGTTTATCCCAAATTCATCAAAACTAATTAAAAGGTCGTATAGAAATTTGACGCCGAGTGACTTTAATCACGCCGTCCGAATAAATAGACGCAAATCTACTGATTCGTATTTGTAGCTGTCTGTGAGTTGCACAAGTAACAGTTTTTTTATACAAGAATTATAGCGATGGGTGTGTTGTGGACTTTTAATACCTTTAGATTGAATAAGGACAACAGTGAGAAGGAATGGCCTCAAGCTTTGGCAATTGTTATTGGTGAGTACTGAGTACCCATATTTATCATTTTTAAGATTTTTTAACAATAAGTTAACAAGTATTACTTTTAAATTTTGTAAATTTTTTGAATGGAAAGTTTTAAGTTTAATTTAAAGTTTAAGTAGCAACGTCGCATTTAATAATATTTTACAGATACAAAAATTTTGCAACTTTAGACTAAACCCTCAAAACCTTTCCGCTTTTTGCATTTTAGGGGTGAAATACACCCCTTTTGTTAAAAATTGTAAAAAATGCAGATTTAAGCATTCTGCTATAAGTAATCTCGATTAATTAAATAAGAATAAATATTTTGCAACTTTTAGAAGCATGATTTATGATTGAATTAATTTTTCAACCCTTTTAGCAACTATCCCTCAAATCGAAAATCACGAAAAAAACATTTTTTATATTTCTGAAATATCAATTCGCATATTAATATTACCCAAATAGTTTCTTTAATGTTTATGATATAATTTATGATTCTTCTTCTTCTTCTTCTTTTGGCATCATAACCCTGGATGGGTCTTTGCCTGTCTGGCTATGTCCTTCCATTTAGATCTCTCTTGTGCCCTTGTTCTCCATTGTCTTATGTTTATTGTTTTCAGGTTGTCTTCGATGTCATCCAACCATCTCGATCTGGGCCTTCCTTTTTGTCGCCTTCCTATGGGCTTCCATTGTAACATTTTCTTTGTTGTTTTTGCATCGTTTTGTCTCTGCACATGTCCCAGCCATGACAGTCTTTGGCTTTTCACAAATCTTACAATGTCATAACCTTCATTTAACTCATTAACTTCGTCGTTTCTCCTGATTCTCCATGTGCCATCTTCTTCTTGTACCGGGCCATATACTTTCCTCAGTATTTTTCTCTCGAATGTCCTGAGTTGGGCTTCATCTTTTTTCGTTTCACATCCATAGGTTACTACGGGTCTAATCAGTGTTCTGTAGATAGTCATTTTGGTTCTTTTGTCTAATAATTTCGATGTCATCAATCTTTTATTAGCATAGTATGTACGATTTCCGCTGGAAATACGTGCATTAATTTCGCTACTTACGGAGTTCTTCTTTTGATTTTTTTTTGATTGTGATATACTTCGTTTTTGCTTCGTTTATTTGGAGACCTCTTTTTCTTGCTTCAGGATCAATTTGTTTGAACACTTCCATTAGTCGTGGCTTATTCCTACTAATGATGGGTACATCGTCTGCATATGCAGTAATTTGTACTGATTTGGTGTTTATATGGCCGGTTATATTGGTTTTTCTGATGACTGCTTCAAGAAATAGGTTGCATAGCATGGTTGATAGGGCATCTCTCTGTCTTACTCCCATGTTAATGTTAAACAGGGGAGTCAGTTCTCCATCTACTCTGACTGCGGCTTTTGAACCCTGCAACGTCATTTTTATGAGGCTGATGTATTTCTTAGGTATATCTAGATTACAAAGGTCTTCCAGCATTCTGTCTCTTTTCACACTATAAAAGCTTGTTTAAAGTCTATATATAGAGAGGTACATATATATATATATATATATATATATATATATATATATATATATATATATTACGATACGCCCATATAAAAATAATTATATACTAATGACAGTAAACAATGAGATATCAGATATCAACTTTATATGTCAGTTCGTTAATGTCTGTGTCACGGTTTACGTTTTGGTAAGTCATATATTTATATACATATTTTTACAATATCTGTTTGTCCTTATATATACACATTTTAGAATCTTGACAAAGGCAAGGGTTTCCTGCCGAAACGTTGATTGATTGCAATGGAAAATAAAATCTAGTGCCACATGTAATATCTTTATTAAACCTTAAACCCAAGAAACATTCATTTTATATTAAATATAACACGGTTCAAGAAACTCAAAACTACAATATATATATATATATATATTATATATATATATATATATATATATATATATATATATATATATATATATATATAGGTCTATGTCGTATTCATAAGCTTCTTGTATCGTTCTTAGTATGATTATGTTATCTGTAGTGGCTCTATTTGGTCTGAATCCATTTTGATCAGTTATATTTTCGGAGTATTCTAATAATCTATTGTAGATTATACCAGAAAGAATTTTGTATATTACATTTAGCAATGTAATTGGCCTATAATTCTGGCATTCCCTCTTATCTCCTTTTTTATATATTGGATGTATGAGGCCAATTGTCCATTCCTCTGGCATTTGCTCCTTCGTCCATATTAATGTTATTAGGTAATGGATTCTTTCCCAGAGTTCGGATCCTCCATGCTTTAATAATTCTGCCGAAATTCCGTCCGTTCCTGGTGCTTTATTGTTTTTTAGTTTATTTATTATCTGAATTACTTCTTCATAACTCGGATTTTCGATGTGCAGCTCCGCCGTGTAATATATTGTCTCGTTCTGATCATTTTCGTTGTCTGCATTTAGATTTTCTTCGAAATATTATTTCCATCTCATTATAATTTTTTACTTCTCTGTTAGTAGTTCTCCGTCCTTGTCTTTACATATCGTTAGTTTTGGTCTAAATGACTGTGTGCTTTCTTATATGCATTTATAGAATTTTCTGCTTTCGCGTCTGTTGTTATGCTTTACGATTTCTTGTACTTGTTTTTTCATAGCCTCTCTTTTCTTTCTTCTGCATATTCTAGTCGCTTGTATTCTTTTTTCGTTATAAATCTTACTGCTATTTCTTGTGTTTCTTTAAAGTTGGTTAAGCCTAGCTTGCCTTTGTTTCCTCTACTGCAGTTCTGCATTCATCATCATACCATTCCGCATTTCTTTGCCTTTTGGCTTTTCCGACAGTTTCCTCTGCTGACTCTCGTTATAATTGTTTTTAATTGTCTCCATTCCTCCTCTGCAGTATCTTCCTCTCTAGTTCGGTTGAGTTTTATTTGGAGAGCATTTCTGTAATCTTGTCTCTTTGTTGCGCTTTTGAATCCTTCGACATTCCATTTTTTTATCTGAATATTTTATATCAATCATATAATTTATGATTGACTGTGAAATTTCAATCCTAAAAAACCACCCACTTAAATTAGAATTATTGAAAAAATTAATTTCAAGAAACTTTAAATATTTGAATAATACATTACTGAATTGAAATCTCATTTACTGAGTATTAAAGTATTTATTTATTTATTTCGTAATTTTACAGTTTTAAAAACTACCCCTTGTCATAAAAATAATGGAAAATGTTTTTTTATTAGCTTTAATAGCTTTAATCATTTAGAATATTTTTTATTGGTTATGATAAAGTTTATTAATATATTTCAAACTTTTATTAATATTATTCTTTCCACATTTCCTGAGCAATTTTTTCAGTGCTTATGTGACTTATTAAAATTTAATTTGTTATTTAAAAGGAAAGCGTATTAAAATATAAATATGAAAAGTTTATTCATTTTTTAATAGTTTTTGGTATTTTTTTAAGTAATATTTCATAAATTAATCAAATATTAATAGTACTTTAATTGTTAATTTTTCACTCTTCATCAGAGCTCTCTTCACCAATTTCTCCTTTTTCATTAATTAGAGGGCTATTTTGGCAATTGTCCCCACTGCATGATCCGCAGCCTGCAATAACCCTACTCTTCGACACCCGCAAGAAGCGCCGCCCCCTGTTTACAGTTGCAAAAAATCATTTTTAACAATTCTTCTGTAGCAGGTGAATTGGAATTTTTAGTTGGAAACAAAGACTCTTCAACCATATACTGGGTTTGTAAATAAACTCTTTTGATGTGTTCATCCAATGCAGAAACCGTTGGGACCAGAAACGAAAACTTAACTGCACTATTTTTAGTGGTAGCATTAATAAAGGATTCGTTACGCATCTGTTCCAGATAAGCTGATCTCACGTTGATCTCAAAATTTTCATGTTTTAAAATAAATTTGACTGATTTTCTCAATAATTTTCAAATTTTTGTTGTTTTTTTCTTCGGCATTAAATAATATTTTTCCAATAATAAAACACCTTTTATAACCATAAACGCCAATTCTAGGATTTTTTTCCTTCATTTCGACGAAACATTATATCATAATTGATGTTGAAATGTTCTTTATGTAACCTGAAGTCATTTACAAGCAATTTGATAAAACAAATTATAGTTTAATGTAGTTTTTATCATTATTAAAATTTTATCTCCATATAAGCAGTCATATATGCTGTTAAAATTGAAATGTTGAGGCCCAACGTTTGGGCTGTATAAATACTTGATTTGTGATAAAAGTGGAGCCAATTATTGTCAGTACTGTGATCACCTAACGTAATAGTGCAGTGTAATAAGGTTTTTAACTCCCTGCGATTTCCCTTAAGAGGCATTAATTTTGATGAAATTTTGGAATAATCTTCTCAAATCAATCAATCAATCAGTTTATAACGTTCTACGGAGTCTTTTGATTTCCAGTCTCCATTTATCTCGGTCGTTTTAAAGGTTTTCTCCAACTCCCCTCCCCCTTAAGTCTTTATCAATTCCTTCTCTCCAACTTAATCTCGGTATACCTTGCTTTCTTCTTCCATGCGATGTCGAATACTTTGGACGTGTTCATACCATTTTAGTTGATTTATTCTAATTATAGTCTGTTATATTGTGCTTAACACGCATAATTTTTCGTATTCTTTCGTTTCTAACTCTGTCTATTCTTGATTTTCCAGCCGCTCTTCTCCAAAAGTCCATTTATGTTGTTTCCAATGCTTTTCCAAGTTTTTTCCTTTCAGTTGCCATACCTCACTTCCATATGTATATGTAACTATGCTTTTTATAAACTGTTATATAACTGTTATATATTTTGTGTTTGTTTTCTTTAAAAATTGTTTTGTCCCACAATATACTGTTTAATTGCCTAATGGCTTGTCTTCCCTGGTTATTTCTATGTTTAATTTCTTCGTCTAATTTGCCATCTTTCGTTATTTGCATGCCTAAATATTTGTATTTTTATCAGTGATTTATTTCTCGCTGTATTTCTTCCAAGATTAGATTTTATTGAAT